ACAAATCCAAACGTGATATCTTAAAACTATTTCATACAACAATGATAGTTACAAAAATATCAACTGTTTTCTTGCCATTACAATTATGACAAGAACAACACTTTTTCCAAGTCAAACATACTATATACTGCAATTCATTAACAGATACAAGCCTCAGGTCCTGTCAGACAAATCTTAAAGAGCCATTTCACCATTAATTATTCTGTTATCATTATGTCAATCTAGATTTTTTTGTAGAAAAAGTACGCTTTGAAATATACCCAATAATGGCATATAAAATTACATTTTTAGGCTTAAAGTCAAATTCAGACCACAATAAAGTGTATGTTTACCCAGTTACCCAGTTTTTACAGAGGCAACACCCCTTATCCTAATTTTTAAGGACTCTTCTAATCTAAACATAGTAGCCATTGTTGTTTGATCTGGTATGTGGTGATTCTAACAGTTAGTATCAAATATGACTTTTATTTTCTCCATGTGTTCTCGTAAATCAGCCATTGTCTTTTAGATATGCTGGCCTCCTGAAGGGAGCTAACAAGGATGATTTCTCAGTGGTCTAATTCTGGAGATGCCTCTGCCCTCCCTTGAAGGTATGCCTACCAAAAATGAAAAGAAACACACAGTCGTTCAAGCCAAATCCCTGCTGTAGGCCAGACAGCTTACTGGCGAACAGCAAAGAGAGGTGGTGTTGGCAGTGCGAGCTGTCAAGACAGAATATGAAGTGGAAATTTTTGTGTCATATTCTCACCTCTTCTCCACAATAAAACCACAGGACAAAATCAGTCAACTGGCGGTTCAATATTGCCACACATTTGCATATAAACAGTTGAACCAGCTGACCCAATGTAGAAGGTGTTTCTTCCCTCAAGACTCTAAGAGCAGCCTGTATCAAAATGCAGTACATCTCTCAGCTTTAATGTCAGATCATCTTAATTGGATAGGGCAGATCTGGATACAGCCCAAGCCTTTCACGCTGTTCCAAAAGCAGTTCCCTTATGTCTTTTAGCAAATGGTTTTGGCTTTGAGCCGTCATCCCCTGTGTATTCCTTCATACAGTATATGATCAGAAAATGTACAAAGACCTTGTCAGTCAGCTTGTTCTCTGCATTTAATATCTTGTAATGATCATAAATAAGTTATAGTAAAGATAAACTGAAAGGCTGAACAAAACTTTTAAATTATATACTGCAAAAGACCCTCCAAAGACCCTGTGTGCTTTACCAAAACTTTTACATCAGGGACAGATGTACTGAACTGCTTCATTCCATGCAGACATATTTGTAAAAGATAATGATAACTTGAATGACTTAAAGATGACAGACAAGTGTATTTAATCTAATAAATCCCAAGTAAATTGCACAGTAGTGAACTCCAAAAGGGTTGACACAAAAAAGCGGGATCTACAGCAATAGCACTATCCATTTACCCTTATTTGTTGTCAGAACAAGTCTCCCATTTATGAGTGCTTGACTTGGCCTTGTTGCCAGGCAACACTATACAGAGAGGCCTCCGAATTAGTTAAGCATGAACGGACTGATGAGCGAGTCCCAAAACAAGGCTTCCTATCTGGTAGTGCATTTTACATGCTGGAGTGGGGATACGGAGGATAGCAGGAGAAAGACACAGAGGCACAAATACATCACAGAAGATTATAAAACAAAAGTATACAGGACATATTACGTGCAGTCACTCTAAAACACACAGAAAAAAGACATGGTTTCATTAGAGACAAGTAGATGTATTCACAGTCATTTAAATGTGTGACTGAAAGATAGGAATTTATAAGCATATGCTAATAGTTACATATACAGTATTCTACTGTACAACTATAGTCCACATCTGAGTGAAATTCCAACAGGACTTAAACAATGACTAAAGCCACATAATATATATAGAACCAGTCATATTAAAACTAAAGACTGGATCACTGTTGGGTGATATACGAGATGAACCAGTATACCGATCATTTTTTATATACCACCATACCAGTGCATAGCTGAAACAACTTCTGCAACTCATTTGCTCGTGCTGCAATAGAACATCTCTTTGAATACTTAAATACTTTGAGTATTTTATGAGTATTTTATATTGTTGTTTAGAAAAGGAAGCAATGTTTAAATTGTTGGTATATCTTTTTTATTCTTAAGTTCAGTTGTATTAGGTTGCAGTTTGCACAATAAGAACTGTTCACATTCTGCAACTGTTTCAATATTCGTATTCCTTCATATATTGTATCCTTTTGTGGGGCCAGAGAAACCAACGCCTTCAGTATATACATAACGACATGAAAATGTTTCTATATCCTATGTACTCCCTACAGTAGAATAAGCCACTATAAACCTATATAGATACAACAAAAAACATGATATATCGTGAAACCACCAGAATCTTAAAAAAATACCATGCTGCAATTTTTTGGTCATACCGCCCAGAACTAACTGTCACACTGTAAGGCTTTCAAAAAGTGAGGACCAAAGAGTTTACTTGTCGAGGATATTCCCATCAGGAACTTCCTTAGAGCGTGAGTGATTACTGAAACCATTGAGGTGCAGCCAAGAGAGTGGGTTGATGCCACAGGGAATGCTTACTTACTGTGCTTAACAGATTCGTTTTACTGTGCGGCATGCTTGATATATGCACTAAGAATAGCAAGTGATGTTATGAAAGGGTTAAGAAAGGAAAACAAAACAGTACCCACTAATAACATTACCAAGTCTTAGATGCTTCTAGACATCCAACCTTCTGACTAAACATGAGTGTTTATGTCTGCCTGTCTGCCTATACATAGACAACAGGAATGTACAGTTTTACTAACAAAACCTAGTAATTATTTTACGTGAACTAATATTGGCATTAAGTGATATTAAACAAGCTTTTTGTCATAGCTAACTAACTACCCATAACACTAATTCACCTATAGTTAGTGTACAGTATAAGCATAGTATAATAATAATAATGCTATTAATAAAAAATTAAATGTGTTCATATTTCTCAACATGGAATTTGTGGCAGATATTCCTATTAATGATGACGTACCGCTGTGTTTTCTTGTTGACAGGAGCGACAAATTGGTAAAATGTGAACAGTGGTATTTCAGAGTTAACAAGACACAAGGGTGAAGGAAACATGGTGGAAGACTGCATGATTTTAATGACATGACACATGGAACAGGGTGTAGAGCCCTTTGTAACACAGTCTATGGATCATTGAACCTTTGAATATTTGCCCATTACAAATGCTCTGTAAAGCTTCATTAAGATTTGTATACCAAAGAGGAAAACTACAAAAACATCACTGAATGCCATTCAGGGGTTAAATATGTGGTTGTGTAGCTTTTGACAACAGATAAGATTCTGCATAAAGCTGAAAGCAATGCATGCATACATTTTAATGATGGTCAAAAACAGCTGGATATGGGTCAACTGATTTCAATGAAATCTTTAAACCTTTTTGAGTTACCTTGAAAACTATCTGGATAAACTGGCATTTACATAAAAAATAAGGATCTGTACAAGAGTAGCAAATAGTACAAATGTAACTTTTAAAAGGCTGAATTGAAACTGAATAAACCCAAACCCTACTACATTATTATGTCCAGATAACGTGGACAACCCATTTTATCAATATCTGCCTCACTGCAACACATAGTCTCTCATCCAGAGAAGGTGTGGTGCAGCCTGTATTGGACAGTGGCTAGAAACCATTTTTCTTAAGCAACTGCAGAAAAATCATTGCCTGCAGCCCACGACATCCTGGTCTAAATTTGTGCTGTAACAGTATATGTCTGGCTGGCACACTGAGGAGTGTATGTCAGCCAAGTAGGCCTGTGCGCTGCCTATTGCTGAAAACACATTCCAGGTTGATTGTTTTTTATTTGATTTATTTGTATTGAGGAGGTATTGAAATTACAATTGAATCTTTGTTAACTTCCAGGTAACTTTTTGTAATAGTAGTAAAGGAAAAAGAAATGTAACAAGACTCTCAGTTATTGATTGGATGACAATGTATGTTTACTTTAATAGTACATAATAATTAACCAAATCTCCTAAAAGCACCAATTTATATAAGCTTATTATGAAAAATTAAATAAATATAGGTGACGGTGCCTCCGTGACATCTGTGACTTCACGTTGTTTTGTCAGTCGCTAATATATCATTATAATCCTCGGTCAGTGGTTAAGTAAGTGTGCAGTGAATATGTCGGCTACATCCTGGGTAAAGTAATGAGAGCGAGCCTTTACGCCTGCCGGTTAACGTTTGGCTCGAGCTCAACTCGCTGTCCGCGGTGCTGAACCAGTCCCACGCGCTGCTGTGCCGCATAGTCCGTCAATAATGAGCTTAGTCCATTGAGCGCGGTGTTAAACAACAGTGTAATGAAGGCAAACTCATGCAAACCCCTTTCGACCACGTCTTTGTTGGCGCCGGAGTATCCAAAGTAAAGCAAACGTAGTCTGGAACTGACTTTTTCATGTGAGCACAAATAAGCTCTATTTCTCCTTCTCTCTTTCCATTTCTCTCAACCTAAACAGAGTAGTTGCGTCACGCCACTCTTCTCTCTTCGTTACATCTCCATCAGCACGTCCCTTGTAGTTGGGCGCAATTTTAAAGAGTTGAAATAACAACTCTGAGTTTAGTTTTTCATGCCTCTAAACTTGGAGACATGCAGTGTGTCTGTGTTGAAGGGGTGCGCCAGAAGGCAAAAAAACGACATATATATTAGATACAAATTTTTAAAAGTCAATTAAAACTGCAGCTTACATTGGGCAGTTTGGCTTACAATGATGAAACAATTAATAGTGTACTCCACTCTTCACGTAGAAGTGTGGGTAAAGTGAGTGAACTCAACAAACAAACACACAAAGCCTCACTGTAACCGGCATAAAGCAAAACATGCGAGGCATCAAAAACAAACTATCAACAGCGCGTTTCTATGCGCCAAATATCCACGATAACACTGATATGTACAAAATGCTTTTTAATGCAGATTTAATGTTTCTTACCTTCACGAAAAAGACTTGTTGAGGAAAGCTCTGTTCTCCCTCTTCCTCTGTTCTTTCTCCTCGTGTTTCTCCCTGTTCAGTCGGTCCGTTTTGTCTCGGGTTTAGCGCGCGAGAAGCCTCTGTGACGGACGGGACCCGCGGCTGCGTAGCTCGCGCACCACTACTATCCAAGCCAGTACTAACCGCGTGGCGCGTGGCACGTGGCGCCCAACCTCGCACTCCACCTATCTCCAGGTACGGACAGGGGGGGAGATACTGCGTGAATGTGATGTGGTAAGTCGTGTGGTAGTTTGGCTGAGTTAATGGTTCAGACCAAATAGGCTCCAACCCTGAAGGCGCCATGATTTCTGCAGATGTTGCGTTTGTAAAGCTTGTTTGCTGCAAATCACATACTGTTTTAGGTGTTTGTGCAAACGGCATATGGTGACAACTGTGTGAAACCTGTGTGAAACTCATATGGTGTCCCGAAATCCACAGGATATATTTTTGGTATTGTTTTATCACAACATGCAGCCAGCTTCTAATTGCTATGGTAACTCAGCTGCTTCTGAAAAGGTTGAGGTGCAGTAGGAAGACTTAAGACAACATAATGAGTGTTAACAATGAGTCTAATTGGAAATCTTTTTGGCAGTCTCTGTTTTTTCCATTTTTCCCATTTGTTTAGATATACACTGATCAGCCATAACATTATGATCACCTGGGCTCCCTGGTGTTATGTTATGCAGCTCCATATGCAACAAACTGTGATGCACTGTGTGTTCTGACACCTTTCTATCAGAACCAGCATTTGCCAGCAATGTGAGCTGGATCGGACCACATGAGTTGAAATTCGCTTATGTGCCGGTTCACTGCTTTTCCTTCCTTGGACCACTATTGATAGGTACTGACCACTGCAGACCGGGAACACCCCACAAGAGCTGCAGGTTTGGAGATGCTCTGACCCAGTTGTCTAGCCATCACAGTCTGGCCCTTGTCAAAGTTGCTCAAATCCTCACGCTGCGCATTTTTCCTGCTCCTAACACATTAACTTTGAGGACAAAATGTTCACTTACTGCTTAATATATCCCACCCACTGACAGGAGCCATGATAACCAGATAATCAGTGTTATTCACTTCACCTGTCAGTGCTCATAATGTTATGGCTGATGTGTATAAAACAGTGACTGGAAGAATTAAGGATGTAGCCTATACCCAATGAACCTTTAAATCTGTGTTAAATGTGTTATGTGATAGTTTCAGGATAGCATTTGGTCACATGTTCAGGATGGCACAGATTTATACGGCATCCAAGCTGCTGTCAGACTGAATTCAACACAAACTGTCTTTGAGCATATGGACATTCATTCAGTCATTCAGGAGCATCTGGCGAATCCCATCCCATCCATGACTAACCACCACATTCTGTTCCCGACTGATCATAGGAGTGAATGAAGAGGTTGTTATCAGCTTGGCTCTGACTTGGCCTTTTACATAACCTTTCACTGTCCTCACAATAAGGCAACCAGGACCTTTCTCCTCCAATTTTGCATCACTTCTTCTGTCAGAAGTTTCTCCTTTCTCCTCCATCATTTGTCATCACTCTTAAAGTAAATATATTCCCTCCTCTGCTATTTTCTCCACTGCTTTGACGACCAAACATCAACGGCAGCAAAATCCAGCCTCCTCCAGGCCAAACACTAACGGCAAACATGAACTTTCCTGACATCCTTCAAGTGTGAAATACTTGGGAAATACTCAGCCCTTGCTGACCAGATCAAGGTATAGTGAGAATTTCTTAAAGGCTTTAAAAGTGAAACACCATGATCTGCCCATGAGGATGTACAGCACAAAGCGTGTCTGTCACAGAACTTGAAATATCTTTGTAAAGAGAGAGAGAGCGAGCCAAGTCATTTGTAGGTTTATGGTGCAATGTATGTGCAAAAACCCATTTTTTAAGCAGAGTTTCTTATTTGGCCACAATTTTGCCGAAATGCAGACTCAGAAAAACCTGGTACTATAATTTCTTCTTTTTCTTTCTTCATTCCATTCTTCATTTCTTAACATAATGCAAACATAAATCATTCAGTCCAGCTTCCCAATACACCCTGGCTTAGTCATTATTCACAAAGATACTAATGTGTATCAGACTGTAACGATAAAGCATCTGTGTTACTTAGGGCTATAACAGTTTCATAACAGAGCAATATGGTTGTATATGACTTGGCTCTGGGAGTTCAATAACAGATGAAGGTAGGCTGAATATGTGTGTATAGTAGCCTATGTATTTGTTTGTGTAACAGGAATAATGAGAGAAACCAGTGGACTGAAAAACAGAGTGTTAAACAAAAGCTCACACACCAGCTGGCTCCACAGTCAACACTGCAGGGCTTTCTCTAATCACATGGCAGCTATATGCATTGTCAGAAAATATGTGAAGAAATGAAGTTCAATAATTGTGTACAGTATGTGTCACCAGTGTTACAACACAGGAGAGTAGACATTTTAAACCAATGAACAAATTGTAATAAAGTCATATCAATTAAACACAACTGGGAAGATTCTCGGATGCATAGTGCCAAGTAATTTACTAATCTACTAATTTAGTAGTAATTTGACACACTGATTTGACATTGAAGAAAGGACTGGAAACTTAGCTTTGATGTGTTGTAAAATCTTACAAACTGCCTCCCATCTCTCTAAGCCACCATTTAGGACATTGGCTGGCTGCCAGCAAGGAGCTATGGTAATTATGGGCCCTCATTTGAGAAAACATCACTAAGATAGATGAAAGCTATCAAGTGAAGAGTCTGAGGATATGTATAGTGACTAACAAGATAGAGGAGAGTCCAAAACGGAGGAGAGGTCAAGGTTGGAAGAAATTAGTGGAAAACTTTTCAATGATCAATACAATAATTGGGACCTGCGGCAAGAACTGCAAACTGTCTTTGTTTCTTTGAGTGAACACCTCACTGTGAATAACTTTCTTTATATTCTTGTTCCTTTTCTTTGAGCATTACAGTTTATTTCTTCCTAAACTGAGCATACAGTACCTGAAAACTTTAAATTCTGGACAGGAGAAAAGCATATACAATATTTATCCCTGTTATGTACAGCTTGTTCTTTGGAAAAGACACAACAGGATGCGGACTGTATAAAAAATAACAGATGTTCATTATGATCTATTGCTATAGGGAAGCACTACATTTGTCACAGCTTCAGCTTGGGTTTCATGAAAATAAATAATCAGTTTGCTTGATTTGAAACACTCAACACAGGCATTTAAAAAGGTGACAACTGGGGCAAGAAGAACTTAGTATAGCTCTCAATGAGCAAATGGGCTCAATAGAAATAATTTTCTTGCCTTAAAAAGAAAGCCCCAGGTGTGCTCTCAGCCTAATTTAGGTGAAATCTAGTAGAGATCTTGCAGTGTCAGTCAGGCCTCAGACAGCCAGGTTGTGATGCTCCTCAGTCCAGGTAACCCTGATGACTTCTGACAGCAGTGAGTGCTACACTATTGTCTTCCATCACTAACACCCCTCTGCCATCACCAGAGCTCCAGTTCCGCCATCCAACTAATGAAGAAGCCTGGAACGTAGGCACAATCAATCAACCCCCCGCACACAAACTCACACCTCTGCATATGGATAGAAAAACACAATCTTACATGCCCCCATATGCATACATCGTGTATATTACCATAATCATGCATACGAACACAAGCTTCTTCGTAACTATATATTTTTTGCTAACTTTTAAATGAAAAAACTTGACAGTGATGTGTCGCTGTAATGCGAGGTGATGTCACAGTCACATTTCTCAAAACAGATCCACATGCACCTTTTCCCAGTTGAGGGGAAATCCAAAATCTGAAACAAAATGCAGCATAGGAATACCACATTATGATTCAGTGCAATATAATGTGTTGATTAAGTTTTACAGTTACAAGTAGCAAAAATAATAATTTAAAATAAAAAACACTTGCAGAATGAAGGACCTCATTTTCCTTTTTTTATTTGCATTATCATACATTAGGTACAAATGACACAATCAATTACAAGGTAAGTAGCTCAGACTCATTTTAAAGGTTTCGGGCTGACAAGGGAAGAAAACAAACACACAATTTGCAAAATACAATATATTCTTCCTTTTACAGTCTATGTAGATATCTACTGTAAGTCTTTTATGTACAAGGACAGGGGTGCTGAGATTATAAATGAACAAAGAGAGAAGGAGTCAGAGACTATGTTACTGTAAGGGTTAAGGACTAAGGCATTTCTGCACATCATTGATCCTTTGCTGTACAGCCAAAAAGATGGCAGCTCAACCTCAACTCTCTCATTTCACAGCAAACAGGACACAGCGGAGAGTAATGACTAACTACAAAGACGAAAGACGTAAAACAAGATTCAACTTAATCAAACCGCCGCCTAAAAGGAGTATTGTAAGAAATAACAGTTACTTAACCATTTTCTGGACATCCTAATTGATTAAATTAAAAACAAAAAGGTGATGACATCAAATAGAATGTAAACAAAGCAAAACACCAAATACATTTGGCTAACTCCTTTCCCAGTAGACCAGTAGAGAGGAGGAAAGGGTGGAATTGATGCCAATTGTATTGAGTGAATTGCACAAGAAAAATCAACTGCTTTCCTGACCTGATGGGATTTAAAGGGTGAAAGGAGAAGGACACTGTCGATAAGATGATGGATTGACTTGGCCCAGGCACTAAGGAAGGAGGAACAGGTAGAGTGAAAGAGGGCGTACAAGACACGGCATGGGAGGTAGGGTTTAATGTGACCAGACACGGGGTTGTCCTTCAAACAAACCATCATCATCACCTATCCTTTCACTCATTTAACTTAACCCCATCCATCACCCGTTCATTGTTTCTTCACTCCCCTAATATCATCCTTTAATGTTGTTGATACATATATTCATTAACTCACTACATACATCATTCGGTCAGTAATAGGCACAGGGAGGTAAAGGTAAAGCAAGCAGACACAGGAGGATGAGTCAAGTTGTAGTTCTATGACTGTAAAGGTTATTGGCGTCAGGTAACAAAATGTGCGTAAAATTCAGATTTACAGAATTTTATTCACATTCATTAATTTGCAAGATGTGCTTGAACACTAACATGGCATAAAACAAAGTAAAAACTGAGTACATTTACTTCAACTAGGCTACTTTGACGATTCATTAAAACAGTACAGTAAGCGGAGAAAAGTATGAAGTAAAAATGGAGAGAATTTAGATCAGAGCAAAGACAATGAGGATTAAGAGGAAGATGTACAGTATATCTGTT